TTTGAATGTCAGTGTGGCAATTTCTCAGAAAATCAGGAAACAACCTTCCTCAAGACCCAGTAATATCACTTTTGGGAACATATTCAAAGGATGCTCAATCGTGTCACAAGGACATATGATCAACTATGTTCATGGCAGCATTGTTTGTCATAGCCAGAACCTGGAAACAACATAAATGCTCCTCAACTGAAGAATGGATAAGGAAAATGTGGTACATTTACACAATGGAGTACTACAAGCAGAAAAAAAAAAATAACGACATCTTGAATTTTGCAGAGAAATATATGAAGCTAGAAAACATTATTTTGAATGAAGTAACCCAGACACAGAAAGACAATTATTACATGTACTCACTCATAGGTTGTTTTTAAACATAAAGCAACAAAAACCAGCCTACAAACCACAATCCTAGAGAACTTAGACAACAATGAGGACACTGAGAGAGATTAGCATAGATCTAATCTACATGGGAAGTAGAAAAAGACAAGATCTCCTGAGTAAACTGGAAGCATGGGGACCTTGGGGGAGGGTTGAAGGGGGGAGGAGAGAGGCAGGGAGGGGAGCAGAGAAAAATGTAGAGCTCAATAAAAATCAATCAATCAATCAATAAATAAATAAATAATAGGAAACACTACTAATATGGAAGGATTCAAGTCTCTGTATAATAATACACTGGACAGTTTGAAAATGGAACTTTTAAATAAGAGGATAACTAATTCAGATGGTATTTACATAATGTCAATTCTAAACATTATAAGTCTTACAATTTCTGATTTTTTTTTCACTGTAAACGTTGGTTATTAGGAGTGTTAAGATACAAGTTTTAGAAAAACTTAATAAAATATCATAGAGATATTCAGATCCAGACGGAGGAATTTAATGGAGAACCAATTTCAGCATTGCGTTATAAGGTTAGAGAGGAACAGCCTAATATTTATAGCAAATGACTTTAATTTATCTAGTCACCTTACAGAAACTGCCAAATGACAGATATCCCCAAGACTGTGCAATAGTGATATGGACTCCTGTGGAAAGGTTAGATTTAAGGAGATTCAAAGAAGCAACTGTCTTAAATGGTACGCATACACCTTTTGTGAAGCAGATATTAAACTCATGGTCAACTTGTAATAATATTATCCCTAGAAACTGCAGAGACATGTTTAAAACAGTGTTGGTGCCTGGTCCTCAGTTACAGTGGACAATTTGGTTGAAAGAGGAGGGTAAAACCATTGAACAATGAAATAGGGCTAGGGGTGTGGAAATCTCCCAAGAACAACTTCTTAGATAGGGAAATTATGCTGATGTACAAAGGCAATCTCTATATAATGACTATGTTCTTCATATATCCCAGATGGAAATCATTTTATATGAAGGTGGAATGCCCATCAGAGACACTGGCACGATTTTCTCTTTCTGAAAAAGTTCAAGAAAAACTTTGCACTGGCTGTTTACATCCATGCATTCTCCCTGTTCTCAAAGAACCCTTTTGAGGGTTTGAATGGGAAGCTGATTTGCCCATCACATCTTGCTTCGTTTTAATTTCTGCCAAAAACTAAATGTTTCTTCACACAGAGACAAGAGATGAGAGGCTCTTATAGAAACAGAAGCCCAGACTTATGGAAACTCAGGCTTAAAGCGCACCATTTAGTTTATCATTGTAGGTGCCATTATATTATATCCATCCCTCAATAAAGTTATTATCTAAATGAAGGAAAAGATCAGCTATGAAGAAGAGCAACTGCCCTGATCTAGTAGTTGCAGGGATCAGATACTTGACCACATGTATAGGCATCAATCTGAGCAGGAAGGATGCCAACTAGTTATCCAATAGGGAATACGTGTGTGTGTGTGTGTGTGTGTGTGTGTGTGTGTGTGTGTCTGTGAATTTAAAAGTTAAATTCAAAGGTAAAGGTAATACAATCACTAAATGGTGCAATTTTTGAAGACTTTTTTTTAAAAACAAAAAGTACAAATGACTAAAAGAATACATGAAAAACAATGTCCAACACCACTAGCCACAAGGAAATACAAATCAAAACATCCTTGAAATTCTACCTCATTCCCTTCAGGAAGGCTGTCATCAAGAAAACCGGCAAACACAAGGGCTGGTGAGGATCCAGGGGGAAAGAAAACCTTTACACATTGTTGATAGTAATGGAAATTGGCATATACTATATGAAAATTAGCTTGTAGGATCTTACAAAAATTAAAATTAGAACCACCACATGACTACTCCACAGTACATACAACAAAGAACCAATCTGCCTGTCTGTCAGTGGACGGATGCATGAATACGATATGGTGCATATGAGGAAGAATAAATGATGCCATTGGCCAGAAAATATGAAATGTGGAGATCATCTTGATAAGTGAAGTATGTAGGACTCCAAAGACAAAGGTCAAGTTTCCATCATCTAAGGAGGGGTGGGACCACGAAAGAAGCAATAGGTCAATTTGGGAAGAGAAAGAGAATCAGGAAGAGGCCACAGGGGACATCAGAGAGGGTTATGGTAAGTGAATTTGATCAAACTGTGCTATGTGTATTCACGACAACGTTGTGATCAAATGCACTGTTTTATGAAATCAGTGCAAGCTAATACAAAACCAATCAATTTCTGTATGTCATACAAAACAGAAATAGTAGGATTTTTCTTCCAGTTTTTTTTTTTGAGATTTTTTTTTTTTCTGTGTAGCAGTCCTAGCTGTCCTGGAACTAGCTCTTGTAGATGAGGCTGACCTCAAACTCACGGAGATCCACCTGCCTCTGCCTCACAAGTGCTGGGATTAAAGGTGTGTGTCACCACCACCAGGCAAAAGTAGAAGTTTTAAATTAAAATATATATAGTGCAACTGGGGCTGGAGATGCACGGCTTTAATCTCAGCACTAAGGAGGCAGAGGCAGAAGGGTCGTTATGCATTCAAGGCAAGGCTGGTCTATGGAGTTAGTTCCAAAACAGACAGGACTACACAGAGTAACCTTATATCAAAAACACCAAAAGAAAATCAAGCAAACAAACCAAAAGCATATAAAGTTAGAAAAAAGAAACAATCCAAAGAATAAATCTAGTAAAAGAAGGACTAGGCTTCTACAAACGAAAGTGCTAGCATTTCACGATAAACAAGCTTCCAGGGACCCAAATGTGGACGTCCAACCTCAGTATTTAAGAAAGAAACAATTGTAGCAGCATTGTTTTGAATAGTCCCAAACAGTAAACAGTTTGTTTTCTTGGAAAAAATTACAGTGAACAGTGTCAAATTCATTTAGGGGAAGATTACATAAAAAGATTACACAAACTGGGGGTCATGATGGTGAGGACTGTTACAATCATTCTAGCATCGAAGACACGGACTGATTTTGATTTGCAAAGATGTTAAAAGTGATGCCAAGGTTGGAAGACTGACCATCTAAGACAGAGAGGACCAGTTTTGAGGATTAGTGATATGAAATGGTTTATAAGGACTAAGGGTTTTTCCTTAACTATAATACAGTGGCTGTGTTCACCTTTCATTCTCTCAAAAAAGAAAATTATCAATGTATTTTTAGTATGAATAGTAGACTGGAAAGAGTGAGGAGAGGAGAGAAAGAGACAGACAGACAGACAGAGATGTACATCGTATTCCCCACAGATGAATTTGGAAATATATAAGATACATCTCAAATAATCAGGACTCTTTCTCTAAATGGAAAGAGAAGAGGTGGCGTAGAGAAGAAAACAAAGGAGAAAACCAGACAGAGAGGATGGGAATAAAAGTAAAGAGAGCCAGGCAGATGGAGGGAATGAGGAGAACACCAGTCGAAGGTCACTGCCCTGCTGATAGCCAGGTGTGCACTGGAGTCACCTGCTGACCCTCCTTTGTATGTATCTAAGCATTTCCTCCTGTAGGGCTCCCAGGAGGAGACAGTCATTCAGGACTGATGACTGCTCAGATTCCTGCTGATGCTTCCTGTTTGATTGGAAGCCTCCCCAAAGCTTGCTGACACCCCTTTATTCAAAGAGTCTGAAATGTTTGCTTGGGAGATTCCATTTTGGCATCCATTTTGGAATGTTGGGTGAAAAGTTCCATTTCAAAGCCCCCTCCCCTGGGAGTTGCCTCAGTCCAAACTCCACCTCTGAAAAAGCCCACCAAAGGATGACCTCTCCCAGAGAGGTCCAGAGAGGGTCTAGACCACTCCCACAGTCTATTTAAACTGTCTCCCAGAGTACAAACATGTGGTCTCCCTGGTTCTCTTTCCCACTCTCCATGTTTTCCTGGAGGGCTACCGGGAAAGACTGGCATCTATTAAACTTGGGCTTCTTTTAATTCAGTTTGATTTAATCTGATTTGGATTATTGAGTTGGCAGAGAGGTTTGTTGGTCTGGAGAAACCTAACAATTCCTAATGCACTGTTTTTTTATCCTCACCAGTAAGGGTTCTACTCTACTATGAAAAACACCATTGCAGACATCCTTATCTCAAACCACCTTTAATGAGCCACAATTACAAAGGAATGGGAATTTATACAGAGATTGACACACACCTGGGACAGTTTCGAATTGGGCTTAGGGGGCAAACAGACAAAGAACCGGGTGTTGAATCCATCATTGTGAATACAACACACTCATACCCAGAGACTTTTATAAATCTAAGCACAGGTGACAGAAGAAAGTTGTAAGAAGAAAGGAATCTTGACCTTCCCATAGAGCAAGAGCTACCAAAAGACCAGATGACAATTAGAGTTAGAACAAAGATGATGGGATCAACCATTGAGTTACTGGAAATAGTTCAAGTAAGCTATCCCAAAATAAGAAATGTATTCTTTCAAATGAACAGAATATTAGGTGAGAATTTCCTTCCTCTTGAACACAAATTAAATATGGAAATGGTGAACAAAGAGGAAGAGACTTTCCAATTGGCCTAATCCTTGGAGACTCGTGGTATAAAAGGTCCTGACTGGAAGAACTTGCTATACTGTTGTAAACTCACCTGTGAATAGAGTAAAACCCTCCAATCCTGACACCATGGCCCTTTGCTGCTGTCCACCTTGCTGTCAGCCATGCTGCTGCAAGACCACCTGCTGCAGTACCACCTGCTGCCAACCCTGCTGCTATGAATCCTGCTGCCCTGAGTCCACCTGCTGTCAGCCTTGCTGTTCCCCAAGTTGCTGCAGTATACCATGTTGCCAACCCTGCTGTTGTGTGCCCACCTCCTGCCAGCCCTGCTGTTGTGTGCCCACCTGCTGTAAGACTACCTGTGGCAAGCCAACCTGTGTGAACATCTGCTGCAGCACACCCTGTTGCCAGCCCTGCTGCTGTGTGCCCACCTGCTGCCAGCCCTGCTGCTGCGTGCCCACCTGCTGCCAGCCTTGCTGCTGCATATCCACCTGCTGTGAAAGCACCTGCTGTGATACCACCTGCTGCAAGGACACCTGTTGCAAACCAACATGTGTGGTTGTCTACTGCATCACACCCTGCTGCCAACCCTGCTGCTGCTGACCAGCTCCCCTAAGCAATGTCTGCACAGTCATGTTCTCCGTAGAGTTGACTGGTCCTAGGATCACAAAGTCACACCTTAACCTTTGCTTATTCCCTTTATGTTCTCACCAAGAAACCTGGCAAATGTAAAATCTAACTTAAGTTTGGGAAATGTTGTAAGGAAAGATGTTGTCCCTCACACGTTTCTCTTGTCATCTCCAAAGATTATGGAATTTTTGTCATCTTCATGGGGGCTGATGTGAAGATCAGGTATCAGTCTAAATTCTGAACCAGGTTATCTTCACTAAGGATAGTGTTTTCTATGGTATGTACTCACTCATTAGTGGACTCTAGCCATAAACAAAGAACATTAAGCCTATAGTTCACAAGCCTAGAGAAGCCAAATAACAAGGTGAACCCAAAGAAAAACATATATAGATCCTCCTGGAAATTGGAAGCAAACAAGATCACTGGGCAAAAGTTGGGAGCATGGGGGTAGGGAGAAAGGGAGAGAGGGAGAGAGAAGAGAGAAGGGAAAGACTGGGGAGAACTTTGGGGAGTGGGAGAGTGGAGGTGGAGGTAGGGTGAATATAGGAGCAGGGAAGAAGATATCTACATTAAGGGAGCCATTTTAGGGTTGGCAAGAGACTTGACTCTAGAGGGGATCCCAGCTGTCCAAGGGGAAGTACCCAGATAGGTCTTTGGACAGCAGAGGAGAGGGTGTCTGAACTGGCCTTGCCCCACTATCACACTGATGATTATCTCGAATATCACCATAGAATCTTCTTCTGGCAATGGATGGAGATAGAGACAGAGACCCTCATCAGAGCAATGGACTGAGCTCCCAAGGTCCAGTTGAAGAGCAGAAAGAGGGAGAAGATGAGCAAGGAAGTCAGAACCACGAGGGGGTTGGTCCACCCCACTGAGACAGTGTGCCTGATCTAATGGGAGCTCACCAAATCCAGCTGGACTGGGACTGATGAGCATGTGATCAAACCGGACTCTCTGAATGTGGCTGCCAACGGGGGCGGATTGAGAAGTCATTGATAATGGCACTGGGACCTGTTTCTACTGCATGTACTGACTTTATGGAACCCTAGTCTATTTGTATGCACACCTTCCTAGACCTGGATGCAAGGGGAAGGGCCTTGGACTTCCCACAGGTAGGGAGAAGGGTGAGTGGGAAAGCAGGAGGGAAATGGGAGGAGGGGAGAAAGTGTAAATTTTTGAATAGAAAAATAATAAATAAATAAATTCTGAACCAGGATCTTTATATCTCTCACCAAATAACTTAAGAAAACACTACTCCAGAAAAAAAAAAGAAAATACTACTTCCCAAATAAAACTTGATTTTACTCATTATCTTTTCAACTGTATTTTCTTATTTACCCCATGATTTTTATGTGCTATTTTTTTTCTTTCTTCTCATTTATAACATGTGTCCCTGGAAACAAGCAATTTTAATAAACTCTGTGCTATCATCATTTCATAGTATCTGTCATTTTGTTTTGATGAACCACATAATGAAAAATTCACATAATGAACAGAATTCTAAATGCTCAGCTTGGTTCCCCCATGCCCTGCTTTAGTGATACTAACATGCTTTGAAGCAGTAGATCCATGGAAGGTTTCTGTAGATGGAAATTTCTTTCCTACACACACCCACAGCCATTCCACCCCAAATAAGCATTAATTATTAATTTGGTGGCCTATTGCTTGGACTTATTACTAACTCTTACAACTTCAACTCACCCATAATTCTTATCTATGTTTAGCCACATAGTTTGATACCTTTTCTCAGTAAGGCATATTCATCTTGCTTCTTCTGCATCTGGCTTTATGACTGTGTATCTGCCCTTTCTCTTCCCAGAATTTTCTTAATCTGGTTGCCCTGCCTATACTTCCTGCCTGACTACTAGCCAATCAGCATTTTATTAAATCAATATGAGTGACAAACCTTTACAGTTTATAAGAGCATTATCCCACAGTATTCCCCTTTTTTTCTTTTCAAGACAAAACCCTGAATCTATTATCCTTTGTTTAGCTTTTCTTTCCTGACCATTATTCACAATAACTTGTAACCAACATGTTAAATTAATAAAAATATTCATAATCTGTGTTTTGGAAATGTTTGTAGTTTTCCAGGCTAGTTCCTGCTGATTGGGGTGTGATAAACTTATGGGAACCTAAAGAAAATTTAGGATTATGGTTAATTCATCCATGGAGTATTCTGTGAGGCTGGATCATCTCAGCCACCATTCTTGAAGCTGTTCTGGGTTTAGAACTCGCAGGAAACTGCAACAAAATTGCTCTAAAACATTGGATCATCTGGGCCATCCACTCCTATCAGAGTTTCTCAGGGGATCTTCCTTGATCAAACTTTATTTTTCTTAACACTGAAAGAATACACAGCCTCTCATTTCCTGTGAAAATAAAACCAAAGTAACATATCTTTTGACTTACCTTTTGACGTCAAGGCATTTTCAAAACATAAAATTTAGATTAATCCAGCAGCTTTTATAATAAAATGTCTTTTAGCAACAGTTGTTCCTTCGTCAGCATGCAAACAATTCAAAGACAACACAATAATAGACAGTACCCAGATTATCTGCGTGTTTTCCATATTTGCAAGACTTTTTAAATTCTATTTCTTTCCTCTTATTTTTTTTATTTTTGGTTTGCTAAAACATGGTTTCTCTGTGTATCATTGGCTGTCCTGAAACTTACTCTGTAGACCAAGCTGGCCTTAACTCACAAAGATTTTCCAGCCTCTGCCTCCCAGATGCTGGGATTAAAGGAATATGACACTATACCCAACTATTCTACTGCTTTTTTAAAGGATTTTCTCTATCCTTTTTCTTTTGTCTCCAAAGCCTATGTATATTTTTAAATACACTGTAAACTATTTAGAGGTTTGTTTCATCTGAATCTGTCTTTACTGTATATATCTATCTTTTTCTGATCACATGAGTCTTTGATCTGCTAAGTGATACAGATAGGATTAACCATCTTCCTGGTTCCTCCATATCAGCATCCATAAACCATGGGTCTGTTCATTTCTTTGTTTTCTGACTTTAATAAACATCTTTTTGGTGGAATCATATTTAACAATTGCCTTCCTGTCATGTTTTCTTATCTATTTACTTGTGAAAGAGCATCAGCACAACTTTCAATCACCATAGATGGAGAAAGCAAGAAATTACATGATAAAACCAGATTTAACCAATACCTAGCCACAAACCCAATCATACACAAAGTAGTAAAAAGAAAACTCCACTCCAATGAAGTCAGACTTCAAAAAAACACAGACAATGGATGATCTCACAGTAACAAATACAAAGAAGAAAGAAACACACAAAATAATATCACCAACAGCAAAAATTAAAAGAGCAGGAACTATCAATCACAGGTCATTAATATTCCTTAATATAAATGAACTCAGGCTAAGCAAACGAATAAATAAACAGAACCCATCCTTCCACTGCATACAAGAAATATATCTCAACCTCAAAGACAAACATCTCCTCAAAGTAAAGAGTTGAAAAATTTGCATCTCTGGAATAAAGCCTACTTGATGATGATGGATGATGTTTCTGATGTGTTATTGAATTTGATTTGCTATAGGGGAAGTTGCTCATTTATTCCTGGTTACCCAGGCCCGAAATAATCACACAGAAACTATTTTAATCACAAAACTGCTTGGCCAATAGTTTAGACTTCTTATCAACTAACTCTTATATCTTAAACTAATCAATTTCTATTATTTTGTATTTTACCACGAGCTTACTATAGTCTATCAGCAATTTCTGGCATCTCTCTCTTTTGGTAGCTACATGGCATCTCTCAGACTCTCCCTACTCTCTGTTTATATTGTTTCCAGCCTACCTATATTCTTCCTTGCCATAGGCCTAAAGTTGGTTGGGAGACTTTTAATGACTGCTTCTATTTCTTTAGCAGTTATAGGTCTATTTAATTTGCTTATCGGGTCTAGATTTAACTTTGATAAGTGATATTTATCCAGAAAATTGGCCAGAGATGCAAGATGGTTCAACATATAAAAATCTGTCAATGTAATTCACTGTATAAACAAGCAAAAAAGTACATGATCCTCCCATTAGATGCTGAAAAAAGTCTTTGACAAAATCCAATAACTTCATAATAAAGGTCTTGAGAGATCATGGATACAAGGAACAAAACTAAACCTAAGAAAGATTATATAGAACAATAGTCAACAGAAAACTAAATGGAGGGAAACTCAAAGTGATCCCACTGAAATAGAACAAGACAAGGTTGTCCACTCTTTCCATATCTATTTAATATAGTACTTAAGGTTCTAGCTAGAGCAATAAGACAAGAAAAGAAGATAAAGGGGATACAAATCAGAAAAAAATAAGTCAAGCTCCCATCATTGGCCGATGATATGATAGTTTGCATAAGTGATCCCAAAAATTCTACTGAGGAACTCCTACAACTCATAATCACCTTCACCAATGTAGTGGGACACAAGATTAATTCAAAAAATCAATAGCCTTCCTTTATACAGATGATAAATAGGTGGAGAAAGAAATCAGAGAAACATCACCCTTCACAATAGCCGCAAATAAATAAATAAATATACATATATGTATATATATATATATATATATATATATATATATATATATATAGGAGTAACTCTAACCAAACAAGTAGAACACCTATATGACAAGAACTTTAAACCTTTGAAGAAATTGGAGAAGACACCAGAAAATGGAAAGATCTCCCATGTTCTTGGGTAGGTAGAATTAACATTGTCAAAATGGCAATCTTACTAAAAGCAATCTACAGATTCAGTTCAATTCCCATCAAAATCCCAGCAAAATTCTCCACAGACCTTGAAAGAACTAAACTCAACTTTGTATAAAAAAATCAAAAAACCCAGGATAGTCAAAACAATCCTGCACAATTAAGGAACTTCTGGACATATCACAATCCCTGACTTCAAACTCTATTACAGAGCTACAGTAATGAAAAAACTAATA